TGTGTCTTTGGCCACTATCATGGGATTGTAGGTGGCTAATTTGGGGCGTTGCAAATTTATTTAATGATAATGCTGTGTTGTATTTTCGCAAAATTTTGAATCGTCGGCAAAAATAAATGTCTCTGAACATCTTTCTAGTAAAAAAAAAAAAAAAATATTAGCTATGTTTCATAATTATTTCGACTTTTTTTTCTGCAAATCAAATTCACATTCCTGGTGGGTTCGTTTCACGTTTGAAGAAAAGATGAAGATGATTCACTCTCCTTAACAATGTGCATATAATTTTCTTTGAATTAACGATATACATAGCAATTTGTGAGTATTTTTTTCGACATGGAACGCATTATCGTATTTTATATTATTTATAAAAAAAAAATTGTTTCGCATAACGAGTGTTTCGCTTAACGAGTATGATTCTGGAACGAATTATGCTAGTTAAGAGAGGTTCCACTGTATCACATTTTTATTTCCTTTGTTTCAACCATCTCTTATTGTAGCATGCACCTGACGAGGTACCATAGTATACGATACCGGGCTATAAATTTTGCAAGGTAGTGTCTTCGGGTCCTTACGATGCCTAAATTTTCTTTGTTAAAGACCTTAGCTCCCAAGTCTAGGCAGCCTTCAGTGGGTACCAGGTGCAGTCCGGGAAAGTAGACGTGACCCGCGTGGTAATGACCTCATCACTTATCAAGTGCCAATTGGTCTATTGAAACTGTGCAATCTATTTTTCTTTTGTCGATTGAAAACAATTGTAAGTACAATTCTAATCACACAGCAGGTCATTTTAAGGTCGCTTTAACCACAGACTGTATCAGCGGAGCTATGCGGTCTACTCCAACTGCTGCTTGTGAAATCCATACAAATGTGGAACCCCTCGGGTTGCGGAGAGAAAAAAATCCACTTTAGAAATTTATGAAAGATGTATTAGAAAGAATCGTAACCATTCTAACAGATACCTTATAGAAAATGGGAATACAAACAAAGAATAAAGCACAAATCGGTTTTACACTGTGTACATGAGTTACAAGACAGATACCACCTCCCAGAGAGACGTCAGTGCACTCAGAATGTTGCAAGAAACTTACCACCACATGCTCGCTTTAAAGCTCCAGAAGTCAGGTTGAAATTGGTAGACGAAGAAACTAAACAGTCCGATCCAATCATCGTTATGAATTCATTACTAAAGACCATTGATTCTTACCCCGAAGAATGGATACATGTTCATACAGATGGATCTGCATTCAAAGCAACCATTAAAGCAGGTTACGGAATCTACATAGGTTACCTAGACGGATCTATTGAAGAAATATTTGATGCATGCGGGGAATTCTGCTCAAATTATGGAGCTGAAATAATCGCACTGGAAACAGCAGTATACCACCTAAAGACAGTAATGGATGTTTATTTCAAAGGCCCAAAATATCGTCATCTTCACAGATTTAATGTCTGCTCTTCAAGCTCTGGAGGACAGTGAACGATCCAGAACTGACATAGCTTTCTAGATGCTGACCAGCTCATTACCTCATACAACATCAGAAAAGTGATGCAGTGGATTCCAGGCCACTCCGGCACAACAGGTAAAGACATAGCTGACAGACTGGCAAAGAAAGGAGCAACACAAGAACAACCACCTACAGCGACAACTCTACAGACAGCAAAAACACTTATAAAAGCTATAAACAAAGAGACTTGGCTGAACAGATGGGCTATGGGAGATACTGGAAGAGAGGTTTATAGACACATGGCTAGCCCTGATCCTAATGACAGCATAACCCATTTAAGAAGAAGGAATTAGACCACCATCTTCAGACTCAGAACACAACATACTCCACTCAATAGACACCCAAGCAGAATACAGCCACAACACTCCCCAGAGTGCCAGCTATGTAACTACCCCTACGAAACTGTTGACCATCATCTCTTTGAGCGCCCAAAACTCAACGAGACTAGAAGAATGCTACTGCCTCCGAGACCAGACTGGTGGAACACCTTGTACGGAGGAAAATAACACCTTGTGAAAACATGTAAATTCCACTACCAAAGGGCAAAAGCTCATGAGCCGCTGGATCAATAACAACATAACAACAACAACAGACTGTCTGCAAGAAACTCAGTCTCTTGCCAGTTCTCCTTCCTCGCGCACTTTCCTACCCAATGTATTAATTATGTAACGTGGCCATCTTTGTACCATTCGGCCTATGCCCCTGCTTTCTAACATTACGCCTTCTGCTATTATTAGTAAAATTGTTGATCAAGTTGTTTAAAATGGGGAGAGGGGGGGGGGGGGGGGGGCTATTGGTTTCATTGCACTAGTTTACTGTGTTTGGGTTCTGATGTCCCATTGCGGCGAACACACGAGTAGACCCACCACATAGTCATCAAGCACGTCGTAGAGTCAACTAATTGGTAGCATCATTGGAAGTCTGAGTACATCTGCCCGTGGGAGAATGAGCCAAGAGTCTGCATACAGTTAGACCACATGTGTGAAACCGATGTGCATGCCACACACAGACTCATAACAAGACTGAAGTCCGGAGGTGGACGAACAACAAGAACTATCTGCCGAAGTTTACAGCTGGTAAGCGCAAAATAGAAGATGGAAAAAAAAAGCAGAAACAGAAAAAGAAGAAAAAGAAAAAGAATAATATTAATACTAATAATAATAATAAAAATAATAATAATAATAATAATAATAATAATAATAATAATAATAATAAGAAGAAGAAGAAGAAGAAGAAGAAGAAGAAGAAGAAGAAGAAGAAGAAAAAGAAAGAAGAAGAAGAAGAAAACGAAAGAAGAAGAAGAAGAAAAAGAAGAAGAAGAAGAAGAGGAAGAAGAAGAAGAAGAAGAAGAAGAAGAAGAAGAAGAAGAAGAAGAAGAAGAAGAAGAAGAAGAAGAAGAAGAAGAAGAAGAAGAAGAAGAAGAAGGAGGAGGAGGAGGAGGAGGAGGAGGAGGAGGAAGGAAAATGAAGAAGAAGAAGAAGAAGAAGAAGAAGAAGAAGAAGAAGAAGAAGAAGAAGAAGAAGAAGAAGAAGAAGAAGAAGAAGAAGAAGAAGAAGAAGAAGAAGAAGAAGAAGAAGAAGAAGAAGAAGAAGAAGAAGAAGAAGAAGAAGAAGAAGAAGAAGAAGAAGAAGAAGAAGAAGAAGAAGGAGGAAGAGAAAAAAAAAGAAGAAGAAGGAAAGGTAAGAGGCGGCTTCAATAGGAAACATTAAAGGCGTGATAGAAATTACAGAAACCTACTGTTTTGTAAGTTGTCAAGGTTGCTCTCACAGAGCCGTGAAATTTGAACAGTCATTATGTCGTAAACATGTTCGTCTGCCCATGATGTCAGGTCCCCTCTACCATGTTTCCTGGCACCACGCTCTTGGTCATTCTTAATTTAAAAAAAAAGGTGGGGGGGGGGAAGGGGGGGGGGGGCAGAGACCAAACGGTAAAAAGATGGGCACGTGACATCGCAGTGCAGACGGAAACGATGACATCATAATGACAATTTAAAGATGACCACCTCACTGTTGACATTCTGTTATCGGTTAAAAAAAAAAAAAATCCATGTAGAAGTGAAACTTTCGAAATTCATTGGCGCAGTTGTAAATTATAGAATCATAAGGACATTGGGAATCCAAAGCCACAAGGAAACATTCGTGTTGATATGTACAGAAGCTTTCGAGATATTTGTTAAAGTTTGCGGGCAAGAGCTTTAAAACGTACTATAGTTAGTAAGTTAGTTATTAGTTAGTTAGTTAGTCAGTCGGTCAGTCAGTCAGTCAGTCAGTTAGTTAGTTACTTTGTTAGTTAGTCAGTCTGTCAGTCAGTTAGTTAAATAGTTACTTAGTTACCTAGTTAGTTAGTCAATAGATTATCATCATTGCACTCAGTCCATTCAGTCCATAAGTGCACAGATCCTCTCCTGAGTAAATCCCGTTCTGCGTTGATTTCTTGTTTGGCTTCATGCATTGTGCTTTTGTCTAGCCACAACTTTTTTAAACATGCGGTTCTTACAATCTAGCCATAGTTGCAGACTCACAGTCATCACCTGGTTCTCGCCAACGTCTTACTTGTCTTAGAGCATTACGAATGTTGCCATGGCCCATGGCTGATCGCCCCCCCCCCCTTCCTTCTCCCTTTTCCCCATTAACCTTATTTACAAACCTGTCAAGTTGTTTGGATCTATGGTTGATACAAACCGAGTGTCACTGATTATTTATTCAATGAAAACAGGCAGTTTAATCAAATAAGACAAAAAATTTCAAATACTGACTGACTGACTTTCTACCCCACCAGGACATCACACAAGCGATAAACACCCGATGACACAAAGTGCCACCATGCTGATGAGGATCACCGTGGAGAGGTCCCAAAAACCGCGTTCAGACAATTGGCCAAATTGATGGCCTGCCTATATTGCGGCCCCTGGCAAAAGCCAGAGTGGGGCTTCAAATAACAAAAAATTACGTCCTAAGAAGGACGTAAGGAATATAGTTTTATTTTCAAATGCAAGCTAGCAAATGTAGAAACCCAAACAAATATAACAAAATGAAACCTGCTTTCGTAACTAGTTAAAAAAGTTAGTTTGCGTGTCCTTTACAGAACAGCGCAGAACCAACCCCAGCAGGTTTTGGCTGTTGTGGTTTTACTAGGCACATTTTACGTTCACTAGTTTGCTATTGCTTTCTCAACGGTCAGCTCTCGGTACCGCTATCAAAACCAACGCTAGACAAACCGTCCAGCAGCTGGGATCGAACCCGGCACCGCGACATTACGAAGCGCGCTCCAACGCTAAGCCACAAACACCGACTCCTAATTATTAATACTTACATAATATCACATCAAAAATATTTTACGCAACATATTAATACAATATCCAGGGAGAAATTCTTTAAACTACCACCACAACTACCACCAACACCAATAACACACTACCAGTAAATAAAAAGCTAATGCAACATACTGAATAGTAACAAGAAAGATATTCACACTGATGAAACACTGTCAACTTACGTTTCTTGAAAATTTTTGAAAACATCACTCAAAGTGTATGGTTTGTTCACTCTTAGTGTTAATTTCTTTTTTTTTTTTCTTCTTTTTTTAAGATGTATATTTCATTCGGGATTTCGTTTCGCTAAATTCTTTTTTCGACTTTCGTTTTCCAGAATCCAAATATCTTTCCTTTTAAACTATCATTATGGGATTGTAGCGTTTTTGCAGAATCCAAATATCTTTCCGTTTAAACTATCATTGTGGGATTGTAACGTTAACAACTGTTGCGGCTGTATGAAGATCGACTGTGTAGAGATTTAGTTATCATTGTATTATAAGCTAGTTTCGAGCGATGGTGAGTGCAACAGTTGGTGTTATACATCATGTGTGAGTTCATTTACAGAGGTTTTCTTATTCAATGAGTAAAAATGATCGCTGTGCTTACGTCTAGTTGTAAAGCATAAGTCAATCTATCAGTCATTCAATAAATCAATCAGTCTACTTACCTACTTACCAAAATAGCATATTTACCCGTGAATAGCCTGCAGTATTTTAACCGAAAATTGTTGATGAAAAAATAGGGTTCGGTTTATAATCGAGACATTACGCCTACATGTCACTTACATAAAATTTATTATTTACAGTACAGCATTTTTTCAGTCATCTATGCTTTCGCTTGCACTCGTACCAATACTTTAGATGGTTGTCTCTCCAAAGGCATGACTTACCTTTAAAGAATAATTTTGAACGAATACGGGTGTTTCATCTTCATTTTTTGTGTGTTTTCAAATTTTTTAATTGCCACCATGCTGTAGTCCTGTGTCTTTTGTAACTTCAGAATAAATCTTTGAAATGCATTTCACCTGGTCACTGTCGGGAAGTCGCTGTGCCGTTGTTAATGCGCCGCCGAAACTCGAGGACATTTCAGGTCATAAAGCGCTTTGCCCGGTCACAGGCTTTAATTTCACTCTGAGGAATTCCCATCTTTCACTGCTTACATTTACTACTGTTTCGGTGTTGGTCTCACTGAAATTCTAAGAAAATTATTGTTTCAGAAACTAAGCGGAACCTATACACCTATACACGCGTTCGTTCCCTACACTAATGCGGTATCTATCTATCTATCTATCTATCTATCTATCTATCTATCTATCTATCTATCTATCTATCTATCTATCTATCTATCTATCTATCTATCTATCTATCTATCTATCTATCTATCTATCTATCTATCTATCTATCTATCTATCTATCTATCTATCTATCTATCTATCTATCTATCTATCTATCTATCTATCTAATCTATCTCTCTATCTCTCTATCTCTTTATCTCTCTATCTCTCTATCTATCTATCTATCTATCTATCTATCTATCTATCTATCTATCTATCTATCTATCTATCTATCTATCTATCTATCTATCTATCTATCTATCTATCTATCTATCTATCGATCTATCTATCTATCGATCTATCTATTTATCGATCTATATCTATCTATCTATCTATCTATCTATCTATCTATCTATCTATCTATCTATCTATCTATCTATCTATCTATCTATCTATCTATCTATCTATCTATCTATCTATCTATCTATCTATCTATCTATCTATCTATCTATCTATCTATCTATCTATCTATCTATCTATCTATCTATCTATCTATCTATCTATCTATCTATCTATCTATCTATCTATCTATCTATCTATCTATCTATCTATCTATCTATCTATCTATCTATCTAATCTATCTATCTATCTAATCTATCTATCTATCTAATCTATCTCTCTATCTATCTATCTCTCTATCTCTCTATCTCTCTATCTCTCTATCTCTCTATCTCTCTATCTATCTATCTATCTATCTATCTATCTATCTATCTATCTATCTATCTATCTATCTATCTATCTATCTATCTATCTATCTATCTATCTATCTATCTATCTATCTATCTATCTATCTATCTATCTATCTATCTATCTGTCTATCTGTCTGTCTGTCTGTCTGTCTGTCTGTCTGTCTGTCTGTCTGTCTGTCTGTCTGTCTGTCTGTCTGTCTGTCTGTCTGTCTGTCTGTCTGTCTGTCTGTCTGTCTGTCTGTCTGTCTGTCTGTCTGTCTGTCTGTCTGTCTGTCTGTCTGTCTGTCTGTCTGTCTGTCTGTCTGTCTGTCTGTCTGTCTGTCTAAAAAGAACTGCCTGATTTCCGCACAAGAAGTGGCGTTCTAAATGTCATCAGACCCACCCACACTGGAGTACTGGTTACTTCCCAACCGTTGTGTGGTGCTCCGGTATAAATAACTGTGCCATAAGACTGCACGAGTGATTTCCGAGATTTGTACGCGTTTGATTCTCATCTTTGAGATGTTAAACTCACAGAAGGCATTTCTAGAGGGTGGCGGGGTGGGGGTGGGGTGGGGTGGGGGGTGGTGGGGTGAGGATTTGTGACACTTCATTAAAACTCATAAAAGTGTAGTACGTCGTGATAGCCGACATTTTGGAATCGTGGAGAAAAAAGAGAGCGGAGAGGGGGGAGGGGAGGGGGATGGGTAGAACATGGTTGATAGTATGAACTTGGAGAAACAGAAGCCGTATAGAGAATAGACGCTCTATGTGGCGGCGAAGTCTTGTGTTAGATGGGTTTTTTGTTTGTGTATTTTTGAAATTACCCTGGCTCTGAGGTCAAAACAGCCTCAAGTATTAAATAAAGCTCTAGCCGTATATGCCCAGTACGTCTGAAGGCAGGAAAAGAGTCCTTTAATTTTACTTTATCCTGTCTATAAGCCATCTTAGCGAAAAGTGATCGTGTCTTACTTCTTAAGGAAAGACGCCAGAAGGCCTTGGTCAGACACGATGACCAACGCTACACTGCAAGGAACATCATCATCACCATCAGTTAGTACACCGGCGATTCTCAACCTGTGGGTCGCGACTATTTTTGTGGGGGGTCCAACGACCCTTTAACAACGGTCACCACAGATCATCGTATAAAACATATTCAATAAAATTATGAAGTAGCAACGATAATAATTGTATGGCTAGGGGTGGTCACAACATGAGGAACCTTACTAAAGGGTCGCAGCATTAGGAAGTTTGAGAGCCATTGTAGCAGAGGATCCTACATTAGAGGACATTGCAGAACTAACGCCGGCATTGTTTGGCTGACACACGTAAGTTCTCGAGAGCCTACTTTTCTTTAATATGCTGACCTGGTTATATCTCAATGAATATTCATAATCCTGTGGAATGCTGTTGTACAATTAACTTCTTTAAAATACTTTCCACCTGCTGCAAGCAAATTATCAATGGCGACTCATAACAAACAAGCAGATCTACAGCACTCTTTGATATAACTCGATGGCATTCAACAATGTTCACAATGACTACAAGACACCAACCGTGAAATTAAAATTCATATCGAGGAGATTGAAAATATCACAGATTTTAAATATTTTGGCTTAGTTTTGAACATCATGAAAAATATCTTATACAATAAATCGCTTTCATTTAATGGCAGAAAGACGGTGCTAAAATGTTGCGTAGAACCAGTTCTGCTGTATGGCAGCAAATCTTGGAATGTCAGTGAACAAATTAGGAAGAATTTGGAAGCAACAGAGATGTGGTTACTGAGACGAATGTAATGAATACCTTGGACTGCCAGAGTAACTAACAACGATTGCTTGAAAGAAGCTAATGAAAGTAGATCTCTTTACACAACAATAAAAAAGCGACAAACACTGTTCTTTGGCCATATTATGAGAAGAGAGATATTGGAAAACATCGTGACAACTGGAAAGATCAGTGGAAAAAAGGGGTAGAGGCAGACCAAGATGCTGGATGGGCTGAAACGATGGCATGGAGGGATATCATCAAGTGAGCTGTTCTAGGCAACCAGGGCTCGTGATCTGTGGAGACGCATGAGGGCCTATGCCAGTTAGCAGGACACATGATTATGATCGAACATCAATTGCGACTGCACACAAACACACGCACGCACACACAGACAAATTACAACAAGACTCACTTTAGCAATGCACACTGAACAGCATGAAGAACTCATAGCATAGCAACAGCAAAAGAGTTAAAGTACAAATTTTGTGATCACACATCTTGCACGTCGTAATTTATGGATGTGAGTAATGAATTCTTGCTCAATAATTGTAGAAAAAACAAGTCTTAACTTTTGAAGTGAAATGCTATTAAAAAAAAAAAAAAAGCTGAATACCATGGATCAGTAAGAAGAAAAACACCTATAGGCTTCATGATCTGGGCGTCCAGGAAATCTGGCTCATAAACAGCATCCTTTCCCGAAAGCTGAGGTATTTTGGCTTTGATAAACATCACTGTGGCCTGGAGAGAGAGGTGATGAGAGTATGTAGTTTCACGAAAACGAGGCAGGGACAGACTTCCACGAATGTGGATAAAAGACACCGAAGACACATTGGCTTTCAAAGAATACGGGGCCAGAAAATTGGCCACAGGATGCGTCTGTTAGGTGTACCGTGACGAGAGCCAGATGCCTAACTCTTTTTGTCCCAGGCAACTCACCAGGAGTTCCCAGATTACGTTGCTGTGTATCAACGCAACACCTGGTGTGTTATTATTATTTCATGTCTGGGACTGAAAGAGTTAAAGAACCAGCTGATTAACGAATGTAGATAAAGATGGAGGAACTGATAGAGATATTAAAAAAAGAATACAAAAGGCAAGAGGGGCTTTCATAGCACTAGGGAATTTGTGGAGGTCAAAAGAAATTAAAAGAAATACTAAACTAAAAATTTTTAATTCTAATGTCAAATCAGTACTATTGTATGGGGCGGAAACATGGAGAACAACCAAGGCAATTACTAATAAATTACAGACATTCATTAACTGGTGCCTGCGCATAATAGAGGGAATAAAATGGTATGATAGAATAACTAATGTAGAACTTTGGGAGAGAACTAAACAGGCTCCAGTGGATCAGGAGGTGAGGAAAAGACGCTGGCGTTGGATAGTGCACACACTGAGAAAACAGGAGAACAGCATAACTAGAATGTCTTTGCATT